TCCATCACCCAAACGGGGGCGGGGGGGGGGCGCTTTCTCTCCTCCTCATTGTTGCCTGGGTTGTTGTTATAGATAATTTAGCAGCATAGCTTCTCTGTCTAAAAAGAGTTCAAATCAGATTTAGGATCAACCCAAGAAAAAGAGAGTTGAACAAACAAAAATGCTTGTAATATATGAATTTTGCTTTATGCCTGCGGTTAAGACATAGTAACATTTTGGTGCACTAGAACAAACAAAAATGTTTGTAGAGAGTAAAAGATTATATGAATAAATAGTATGATGCAACCACGGTCACTGGTTGATCCTGCTATCATATGAATTTATTTAGCCATTTGCACTTGTCCTTTCATCCCGTTTCTTTCCTCATCACAAATAATATATGAGTGTTTTTGAGTTCAAGTCTGTACCACCTTGATTGTGCCTTTTTAGAAAAAAAAAAGAAAAAAACTTAACTCCATCCTATAAAGTTTGTATCCAAAAACCTAGAAGAAAAAAAAGCAAAAAAATAATAGAAACTAAACATTGAAAATGTTCTTTTTTGTCCTAATCCTGAAATTGATTAGTTGGTCTCTTTTAATCTTCAAAGTAGCTCTCACTTTCCTTGTTGATAGCATTGATGAGCACTAGAGAGCACCTAGATTGTGCCTGGTTAGAGAAACATGATGACTGCGTTAGCAAGTTATACTTTGCTTGTTAATTTTCTCTCCTGTTTTTTTTTTTTTTTGGGGTGGATAAGTGTTTAGCTTGTCAGTCTCTTCTTTGCTATTTACGTGACGATAATGCATTATGTCCTAATGTCATTTAGGAACAACTGTCGACCTTGACAAAGTAACTTAATCTCTTTCTACAAATGAGGTTATATTTTAAAGATTTTATTACAAATGAGGTTATCGGCCAAAAAGATATTCTGGTTGGATATTGTGCTTGAACCACTTAAGGTGTTGATTGCGGAAAATTGAAGCAAAATGTATGAAGTTCTTCTAGGGTTCGACAAGAGATTGAGAGAATAGAGAAATCTTTATTAATATTATCAGATGAATCTTTCTCTCTATTACAAGAATAGAAGACTAAAACTAAAAAAGTGAAAGAATAGACTGAAGAACAATCTGGGCTTTCAGCCCATATACAAATAAATATAATGGGCCCAATTAGTGAAAGTGGGCCTTAATCTGGACTCCTTTCAATAACTCCAACACCCCCCTTCAAGTTGGAGGGTGGGAAGACCCCCAACTTGAGCAGAAAACCATGATGAGCAGCACCTGGAAGTGGCTTAGTGAAGAGGTCAGCCAACTGAGTAGAAGAAGAAGTGTGTACCAAATGAATCAAACCCTCAGCCAGCTTGGTCCGAACCAGATGACAATCCAACTCTATATGTTTGGTTCTTTCATGGAAAACTGGGTTTCGAGCAATGTGTATCGCAGCTTGACTGTCACAAAATAAAGGAATGGAGGAAGAACAAGGAAGGCCTAAGTCAGTAAGCAATCTAGACAACCAGGTCAACTCAGCCACTCCTTTACTCATGGCTCGATACTCAGCTTCAGCAGAGCACATGCTAACAATGGGCTGCTTCTTGGACTTCCAAACCACAAGGCTACCACCTAATAAGACACAATAACCAGAGACATAACGCCTAGTGTCAGGGCAGGCAGCCCAGTCACTGTCACAAAAGGCAGAAATAGACAGGTCTGGAGAGGCATTGAAGAAGATCCCATGTTCAGAAGTACCCTTCAAGTACCTTAATAGATGCAAGCCAGCAGACATGTGGGGAAGGCAGGGAGACTGCATAAATTGACTGAGATGTTGGACTGCATAGCTGATGTCAGGCCTCGTGTGAGTTAAAAAATTCAGCTTACCAATCAAAGATCTATACAGTTCAGGCTTGAGCAAAGGATCACCTTCATTGGCTTTAAGCTTCACATTCAGATCAAGAGGACACAAAACAGAGGAAACATCTAAACAATGAAACTCAGACAACATATCAGCAATGAACTTTTTTTTGATGTAGAAGGACACCAGTAGAAGAATATAGAACCTCAATCCCCAAGAAATAGCTAAGAGACCCCAGATCCTTGATCCGAAATTGTTGATGAAGGAAGGATTTTAAAGCTGAAATCTCAGTAGAATCAGTCCCAGTCAAAATTATGTCATCCACATACACAGCTAAAACAACAAAAGAATCACCAGAACCCTTTGTGAAGAGGGAGTAATCATTCAGAGAAGATGTATAGCCTCTAGAAGATAGGGATTGAGATAATTTGGCATACTACTGTCTGGATGCCTGTCTTAAACCATAAAGAGACTTCTGAAGCTTGCAAACCAGCTGCCCAGAATTAGAAGTGAGAGGAACAGAATAACCAGGAGGCAACTTCATATAAACCTCCTCATCAAGGTCCCCATGCAAAAAGCATTGTTGACATCAAGCTGAAACAAAGGCCAATGTTTCTTGATGGCAACAGCAACCAAAGTCTTGACAGTGGACATTTTCACAACTGGGGAAAATGTCTCATGAAAGTCAATCCCTTCTACCTGTGTGTCACCCCTAACCACTAACCGAGCCTTATACCTTTCAATAGCTCCATCAGCTCTATATTTGACCTTGTAGACCCATTTGCACCCTATAGTCTTCTTCCCCAAAGGCAAATCAACAACTACCCAAGTCCTGTTAGCTTCAAGAGCCTCAAATTCATTCTTCATTGTCTCTTGCCTTTCAGGAATGGAGGCAGCTTGAGAGAAAGTATAGGGTTCAAACACAGGAGGCACACTAGTAGAAACAATATTGGAAATAGAAGTGGAGCATGAAGAAGGAAGTGTGCAAACATAATCATTCAAATATCCCGGAGGATTGTGAGGTCTAGAAGACTGCCTCACAGAAACCTCAGGAACAAGAGAAGGAGGAGGGACAACAAGTATAACAGGAGAAGAAGAAGAGGCAATGGGTAAATCAGTAGAAGAAAGAGGAGAAACAGAAGGTGATGAAGGAACAGGAGAAACAGAAGGGGATGGAGAAACAGGAGAAACAGGAGAAAAAGATGAAGTAGGGGGAGCAACAAGATCATCAGGAACATGAGGAGGGGAGAATGCAGATACATGTGGAGAAGGAGAAGAAGAAGAAGAAGGAGGAAGGGCAAAGGGAAAGACATACTTATGGAAGACAACATCTCTAGAGACAAAACAAGATTTAGAAGTGAGGTTATATAATTTGTAGCCTTTCTTAGCAAAGGGATAACCTAAGAAAACACAGGGAACAGACGTTGGCTCAAATTTGTCTCTATGAAATTTAGGAACAGTGGCATAACACAAGCAACCAAAAGTTCTAAGGTGAGCATATGAGGGAGCCTTACTATACAGTATCTCAAAAGGACTCTTGTTATGTAACAAGGAAGAAGGAAATCTATTTATTAGGTAGGTAGCAGTAAGAATGCAATCACCCCAAAAGGAAATAGGTAAAGAAGATTGAAAAAGCAATGCCCTTGCAGTTTCAAGAAGATGCCTATGTTTCCTTTCCACAACACCATTTTGTTGAGGTGTGTGGGGGCAGGAAGTTTGATGAATAATACCTTTGTCTGAAAAGAATTTGGAACCAGTAGAACTAGATCCCAGCTCTAGGGCATTGTCACTCCTCACAGTTTTGATTGTGGTATTAAAATGAGTCTCAACCATAGCAATGAAACTTTTGAGCATATCAAAAGCATTACTTTTAGCCCCCAAAAGGTGAGTCCAAGTAGCTCTAGAGTAGTCATCCACAATAGTTAGAAAGTATCTTGCACCATTAGTAGTGGGAGAATGGTAGGGTCCCCAGGTATCAATGTGAATGAGTTGAAATGGTGCTGTAGAATGAGTAGTACTATCAAGGAAAGGGAATCTGGTTTGTCTAGCTAAGGGGCAAATAGAACATGGAAAGGATTGTTTAGAAGAAAGAGAGGAACTAAGAACAAGTATGTGTTTCATTCTGGAAAAAGCAATGTGACCAAGTCTAAAATGCCAAATCACATCTATTTTATTCAAATTTGCATGAGTAGAATTACAATGGGGAATAGTGGAAGGGATAACATCAGATTCATGCTTATTCACACTACTAGTAGAACCACTAACATCAGAAATGGAACTAGCAGGATAAGCAACTAAAGAACTAGAAACACACGAAGAAGAAGTAGGAGGAGGAATCTCCAGTTTGTATAAACCATGGTCCAATCTACCAAGCACCAAAGGCTTCTTCAGTGAAGGGCCCTGTAAATGACACAAAGTGCTAGAAAATTGAGCTATGCCCTGTGAAACCAGATGGTAAACAGATATGAGATTGTATTGGAAGGTAGGGACATAAAGCACATTGTGCAAGGTAAAGTTAGGAAATAAAGTTAAAGAACCACAATTGGTGACTTTAACCTTATAACCATTAGGCAAAGAAACAAGACAGGGAATAGAAAGAGGTTGAATATTAAAAAGAAGTGACTTCTGAGAAGTCATATGATCAGAAGCCCCAGAATCTATAATCCAAACAGAACTGTCTACTTGTGAAAACAAACAGGGTTTAAGTAAAACACTGTGTGTGGCTTCTCTACCTGCAAAGTGAGCAGAAGCCATCAGAGACTGAGAGGAATCAGGATTGAGATGGGAATGTTGGAGAAGCTGCATCAGTTGAACATACTGGTGCTGAGTGATCCCAGGAATCCCAGAAGTATGTTCAGAAGGAATAACCTGAGCAGGAGAGCTGTCTAACCCAGAAGACAATGATTGTGAACCAGAAGAATCAGCTGCTACATTAGCTGCAGCCTTGCGAGGACCACCACCCTTGGTGAACTTGAAATTTTGTGGAAAGCCATAAAGCTTGAAACACTTCTCAATGCTATGTCCAGTTTTCTTGCAATATTTGCAGGTGACAACAGATTTATGAGAATCAAAAACTACCTTGGCAGGGTATGACTGTTTGGAAACCCCAGCTTGGAAGGAAGCAGAGTCTGAAGAGAATTGAGAAGTTGCAGACACTTGTCTTTGTTTCTCATCACCGAGGAGAATACTGTAAACAGTATCCATGGAGGGAAGGGGCTTTATCATGAGAATATTACTCCTGACTTGGACATAGACTTCATTGAGACCCATAAGAAACTGATACACTCGTTGTTCTTCTTCAGACTTAGCATTCCCACCACAAGTACATCTATTTGGGGAGTTCACATTGATTGAAGCCAACTCATCCTAGAGGTGCTTAATCTTGTTGAAGTAAGAGGCTATATCTAGTGCACCTTGTGAAACATGTGCCAACTCCTTTTTTAACTCAAAGACCCTAGCCCCATCAGCTTGCCCATATCTAGCTTCTAATTCCCTCCAGATATCTTTTGCAAACTCGGAATAGACAACAGTCTGGTGAATCTCTCTAGTGACAGAATTAGCAAGCCATGCAACAACCAGATCATTGCATCGTTGCCATTGACGAAGTAAAGGAGAACCCTCAGGTGGCTTTTCATAAGTGCCATGGATGAAATCAAGTTTGTTCCTAACAGATAAAGCAACCAATATGGATCTACGCCAACTTCCATAGGATGACCCATCAAAACGATCAGTAACTAGAGAAGATCCCAACAAATCTGATGGATGGACATATAAAGGATGGCAAGGGTGTGTGTAGTCATCAGGATGAAAAGGAAGATGTGTACTTGCAGCAGTTTGGTTTAAGTTGTCACCATTAGTTGAAGACGGAGTAGTAGATGTAAAAGTCATGATTTAACGAAAGAAACAACAACAGTAAATCAAACTTATCACAATCAGTAGAAAGGCACTATGCATAAAGGAAGCAGAAAATAATTGTACCGATCCTCGTCGCAACCGGAGAGGTACGGCTTTCAAAAGAAAAGATCCGTGAAGTAAAATACCGGCTTCTCCAACAGAAAACCCAGCTTCACCAACAGAAAAAAAACCCTAGGTCCATGAGAAACTTGTAAAAGCGCCAAATTTCACAGACAATCACCGGAAGAAACATGAAATGATTATCCTTAACGAGATTGCGCAGAAAATACGCCCAATAAATCAGAATTTTTTTCGGAACTGACGAACTGTGCCGGAAGATTACAATTCGGGTGAAATTGGATGGGGTTAACATAGGAGGATAGAGCAAATCCCACTCTATGTTATCCCTCGCTCTGATACCATGTTGATTGCGAAAAATTGAAGCAAAATGTATGAAGTTCTTCTAGGGTTCGACAAGAGATTGAGAGAATAGAGAAACCTTTATTGATATTATCAGATGAGTCTTTCTCTCTATTACAAGAATAGAAGACTAAAACTATAAAAGTGAAAGAATAGACTGAAGAAGAATCTGGGCTTTCAGCCCATATACAAATAAATATAATGGGCCCAATTAGTGAAAGTGGGCCTTAATCTGGACTCCTTTCAATAACTCCAACATAAGGCGGTACCGTTTTGATACCTAGATGTTTCACATTTTTCACTGTCTTCCATCTATGTAACTAACCTATTTGGATGATGCTCTTTTGGGTTCAGATACTTGAACCTCCAGTTTCAGAAAAGAGTGATAAGTTAGAAAAAGTGGTGACCTTTATAATTGAAGTAAATAATTTTATTGCAACGAGGCTGCAGGTAAGACTTTATTTTATGCCTCGCCGTTAGCTTCACTGTATTGACTGTGTCTGCTTTTGGTTAATTTTCTCTAATCTTTTTCTTTTATTTTTCAACGGTTAGGAAAAGATATGATTTTGGAAACCAGAATTTGTTAGGATTGTCATGATAGGATGCAAAATGGAAAAATAGGGAAAAAAAAATAAAATAACGGAGAGTTGGGGCAAATTACCTTTTTCGCGGTAAAGTTATCACGAAGAATATATTAATGTTGCATCCTATTGATGTTTAAGGCCTGTCAGTATTAAAGATTATGAACATACACGCGTTTAACGAACTAAAATCTGGGAGCACGTTTCCATTAAGTCAGGCACTGTTTTCATTGGACATTTGTTACTGCGGGAGTCTTTAAATTATCTATGGACAGATGGTTCATATTAAGCAGAGCATTGAGGATTATTGGATAGTTGACATATGTTATATTCATTTGTGACAATAGGTAAAAGCTAATTAGTATTAAAATATATTCTTTATATATAAATGTTAAATTACATTTACGTATATTGTTTAAATGGAGTAGAGGTGCATCTGCACTGCGTTTGACTGAATGAATGGGAACATGGTACAATTTTGAAGACTTCAAAAATTTTTGTGTTAATGGCTGCGTTATTAAAAGCGAGAGATGTCATTATATGAATTTTGGGAATGAAGTTTTTAAACCTCCACCGCCTGCGGACTTCCTCTTCCAGTCATGGTCTTAATTCTTGGCTGCGGAATTGAATAATTGAGAATTCAAATCCTGCTATTTTTCTTAATTGTCTAGTCTTTAATTTGTTGCGTAAAAACACATGCGTAAATACTAAAATTTTGTATTGTCGAACTCTCAGTCGCAGCAAGTTCAAACATGCCTAGGGTCCGAATAATACTAGTCAGCAATTCCAATACATTACATCAAGGTAGTGAGAACTACATTACAAATTTTGATTAATACACCTAGATAAGTGAGGGAGGTTTAAGTAATAACCCCGGTGACAATAAGAAAATTCATGATGAATCATATTAAATTCATAAATTGTACATTCGAAACAAGATAATATTGAAATGCATGCGCGGGTTTCCACTTACTTGTATCCAAATATTTTAAAATCTGAAATTTATTACGTAATGCATGTCATTGGGGGTGATCAGTACTAAAATTCATTTCTCTTGTTGATAGGATATGACTTATTCAATTTCCAATATATTTTTAATAAACCCTTCTGGTCAACAGTCAATAATAAGGAAAAAGTGCTCTTCCTTATTAACACGAGATCAAAAGTATTCAATGTTTCACGCATATAAATAGACCCCATTTTAAGCATTCAATCATCAATAGTAGTAATTTTGTATAATCATTAACATGAGATCTCAACATAGCAATATCGTTATAGCAACCATAATTATAGTTCTATTGAGCAGCATACCATATGAAGCCACAGCTAGGATTCTAAAGGAAGAAGAAAGAGTTAGATGGACAAGATTAAACAAACATCTTTTGTTACCATGCTTTTACAATCCTGTTCAAACTCCTACCCCCAACCCTGGCACTGAAGGTAGAGCTTTCAGCCAAAGGACTGTCGAAGAGAAGAACTTTGCCGGTCGGCGAAAGAGCGTTGCTCATCCTCCTCCAGTTCCTCCTTCTTCCCATGGTTCTTCACAAGCAGAATAGTGTTTCAGTTGCTGTAGTCCATGATTACCTACATATATAAGTGCATTAAAATGTGTGCTTATATTATAACCGGTTAATTAACTAATTCTAATAACTTAATTGTCAGACGGGGCTCTTGTACAACGGAATATCCTTCTTTCATTGTTTTATTGTTTTCTAGTTTGTCGTTTTATCCTGATGTACTCTAACTGATTATTATTTTGTATTCTGTGTTATCCTTCTTTCATTCTTTCACTGTAACAATTTTTTTTAATTCTTGAAATTCTGATGTAGTCTCTTGCCGGGACGTATATTTATGTTATTGAGCTATGGATCATGTGTTGAGGAACATTTGGTGCTTGTTATAAGTCTATAGGTGTTAGATGTGCTATGAGTTATTGCTAGATATCGTGAAATATGGGTTTAATTACCTGATGGGAACTATGTTATCCGAGTGTCGGTCATGGCCAGTGGCGGATGTACAGCACTATGTTCATCCGAACCCAAGTGGTTTCGTCCCAAAATATAGATAAACATATGAAAAACTATTAGAATTTTAACATGCAAAACGCTATCCGTATATGTGGCAAAGTTTGCAAAAAATACGAAATTTAAGAAAAAAAGAAAGAGTTTTGAAACTTATAATATATTCATATTACTATAAATCATCTCATTAAAGGTATAATGAGAAATTAACAGTTAAATATTGCCAAATTTAGAAAGTTATCTTTCTTTTTGGATGGACTAAGAAATAAATGTTGCCACATAAAGTGAAATGGTGGAAGTATTAGATTTTGAACCCATGATTTGAAAGGTATAAATGGGTTCAATTGTAAAAACCTAAAGTTCGTGCCCATCAAATTAAAATCTCGAATACGCATCTGATCACAACCCCAAGTTTGAGAAAGCACGGCCCCCAATTGTGTTAAGGGCTGCATTATTGATCACCGGCAGATTTCTTCTTGTAGTCATAGCCTTAATTCAATTCTTGGCTGCGGAATTGATTAATTGAATATATCCAAATCCTGGTAATTTTTTTGGGTCCAACAATCCTGCTATTTTTCTAAAAAATTGTCGTTGTCGCCTAAAACACATGCATTGACACTACAAAAATTGTAGTTGTTGCATTGTTGAACTTGCAAATACTTCAAACATCCCAAGGATCTAAATAATACTATCAACATTTTCAGTATACTACATACATCAAAGTCGTGAGAACCGAAAGATTTGTGTCTTACCGATTAAATTTTGTCGGATTTTTAATAAAACGATGTATTTTTCTCTTAGAACTAAAGTTGAGGTTGAGGTAACACTGGTAAAATCTTAAGAGATAAATTCAACAGACAATAGTTGTTCGTTTTGTACTCAGTTTTACTCGTTTAGCTCCACCACTGATTGGCTTAAACTTTTTGGAGGATCAGGTTTTATAATCGATAAACTCGTACACTATCAGGTCACATGTCACTTAAAATTATCTACATGTAACTCTCCATGTGTACCGGTAAAATCAAGGATAAAGTTATCCCTGATTTTTCGATGAAGAAACAGGATACGTATAAACGCTCAAGTATCCCTCCACGCGCGTCGTGACGTCCTCATTACGACCGGGAAGTGGGAATGGCTACGTCTTTGCCTTCCCATTTGCAATCTTCCGGACCGCTTGGAGCATTTCCTTGGTGATGGAGAAGATATATCTCCACGCCTCCTCACCTCGATCTCCTTGTTTGGAGGCTTTTTCGACCTCAAAGTCGTTATCTATGGAGCTGCTTCCGGGGATAAACTCTTTAAGAAGAGGTTCCGAGGTTGCTACCAAAAGGGTCGCCTCGGTGTTTGCGACTGAGGTGGATGTTGAAGGGGCATTGTTTTGAGGCACCGATTTTGAGGTTTTTGCCATCTTGACCTGAGAATATGAAGGTTTGAAGATTGGCATGAAGTTTTGAATGTTGATATGATGATCTGGGACGAATATTTGAAGATAAAAGATGAAGATTTGAAGATTAAAGATGAAGATGTGAAGAATAATTTGTGAAGATTTGAGAGGTTGATGAACAAATAGAAAATTCGAGGGTAACTCAAGAAGATTCGAAATCGAAAAGTCAAAAAGTGAAAACAAGAAACTGGAGCTTTTATAGGATGGAGATAATGAATGCGTGATGTTTCGCATTCGGTGCCTACCGAGGATGGTCAACTAGCGGCTACGTATCCAAAGTCAGAACGACGCGACTGATGGGACGTTTCAGCGACTTGTCAACTCGCTTGTAGCATACAGAGGAAAGAACCGGGGTTAATTAATCACTTCTCGTTGTTTCCATAAATCTACTCTCCGAAAAATAAGGGGACTACCTGTGTATGGGTAAAATCGGGGATAAAGTTATCCTCAATTTTTCGATGAAGAAACAGGGGACGACGTGGTTCATTGCAGGATCGGGTACAAACAGAGGGTTCCCCCATATCAGAG